AAGGGAAGGCGGGGCAGGGGCGCGAGGCCAGCAGAGCTCCGGCAACAAGGGCAGTGCCTGCAAAGGCGGGGCCGATCGTAGCGGAGTCTGGCGTCCCAGACGCTTGGCACCCGAGGCCGTGACGCAGCTCATCTTCAAGTTGCTGCTATGGGCTTGCAAGCCCCAGCGGCGCCAAACCTGCAGAGTTCCTGCAGCCATCCCGGGCGGTCTGCGCGTTCAGACTCATTCCGCAGTAAACAGATTTAGATAGCGCATTTGACTGCCGCGGAAAGATGAGCGGAACCGCGAGGTTGGGAGGGGACTCTTAACGGCGATCTTCGGCACGGATGGGGTGCGAAGCGGACTGCGGCTGAACAGTTGCTGATGTTCTCTATTTTAGTAGCTTGGGCCATTCCAAGGAAAGGGAACTATTTGCATTTTATCAGCTCCCGTAAGTGCTTAGAAAAACAACAACGAGGACGCTGGAACGGTAGCAAAGTGCTTGTTTGGGTTTTTAGCTATATTTGTCAACAGTGCCACTTCCGGTTCCTGCTTTTGGGCCGGCTAACTCCAGTCGCTAGGATCAGAAGGGATGCTTCTGTGCCCGTTTTGTTGTATCAACACCATGTTCTCATTAAACTCCAGATATTTCTCTCAAACAGTTGTACAAAAGTCTCTTTTTAAAAATCAGTCCCTATCGTTTACCAAGTGGCAAACAGCTTGCAAAAAAATAAATTTCTACCTACTAAAGACTAATGATTTCCCCCCTAATAATTAAAAAAAAGAAAGTGAAGGTGAAAGAGAGCATGTGAATTTCTATTCTTGATCTTGACACAAGGCTTGTGTTTTGATTTAAAAACAAATATGCGCAGCCTGCCTTTCTGTAATAAGGCCTGCATTATCTTTTGAGAGAGCAAAAACTGAAGTTGCCAGCCTTTCTTCCCTTCTGAAAAAAATGAAGTTTCTTTCTAGTGTGAAAGCAAAAAAGTGAGATGAAGCTGACAGACCTTGCCAGCGAAAGAGGCTGAACAGGCAGTTAGTAGGATTGCTAGTTACAGTGATTTTTCTTTTTTTAGAGCAGCAGAAGCAGCCTTTTCTTTATAGTTAAAGAGAGCCAGCTGGTATCCCCAGCAGCAGTAGTGTATGCTCCAGTTAGCTAACCACTGTGAAATCAGTATCTAAGCAGGTTAAACACTTGTATAGCAGAAGCAAAGGGGGGTGGAGATCACTTGGTGCCATCTGGAACCAGCCCAAGTGGTTCTTAGTGATATTATCCTGAGATGAAGCTTTGGGGCTATCCATTGTAAAACCAAGAGAGCCTTACTGTACAGGCCCTTACCCCGTGTGGTTTCACACAGCTCCCACATTCTCCAGTATAGCTTTCTCAGACATTCTCTCTTGCAGCAGTAAACACTATAGGATCAAATCGAATATGAACAGGTGTTGCAGAATAATTAATAGGAGAAAGAGCTGGAATGCACATCTTGTTTTGGATCCATACCCTGAGTTACTAATGTTTACTGCACCTGAGCTACCCCTTTCTAACTAAGTAATAGAAGCAGTGGGGGAAATGCACAAATCAACTGTCATAATGTGGGAAAACTCATACTGAACAATATTGCAGACATTTTATTAAAACACACTGCAGTTTTGCTGCAAATTAATATTTATTTTTTCCTAAACAGCATTTACTTACATATATTTAGGTTTGGCATGCTTTCAACTCTGCTTTTAAGCAGAACAAAATCAGAAAAAGTTTTATTTAAGAAGTCTTCTACATGTACATACATTTTTACATATTCCTTACAAAATGATATATAAAAAAGTGCAACATAAACGTTCTGTCTCCTAGCAATCAAATAAAATGCTAGCAAGTGATATTCACAAATTAGGAAACATGATGTGAATGCGTTTAGAACAAGTGACTGTTATAACCTTGTCCAATAGTAGTGGGCAGGTACTGCTGACAAATACAGAAGAACATTAAAGTCATATGGTTGGAGCACACCACCTTGTTCACCTAAGTCAGAACCTTCCTTCAGTGGAAGGAAATCTTAATGGAGGAGTAGCAGGATCCAGCCTGGTGACCATGTAGCATTACAAGCAATGTTACCTGGTTCCAATAAATCTTTCATAAGTTGTTCTAAACAGTTACAAATGTAACTTTTCAAAAGAAATGAATCAACCTTTAAAATAGCAACTATGCACATGAAATAAGACAACCAGTTTGCAACATGTCACTAGGATCCATCTGCGGCAAACTTACTTCCAATGTTATTCTTTCTTCTCAAACAGCTGCATCCCCCCCACATATCATACCTTTTGTTTTGTCTGCAGCTATTAATGGAGAAACATGCTTTGGGGGCAGGTGGCAAAAGGGTGTTTGTTCAGACTATCAAGTGAGTGACAGTCAGTGTTCCCTCTATTTCCCCCCCTACTGAGAGGAGCAGCTCACATCCTGAGCAGAATATAACTGCTGTAATCTTAAAATAGGCGGTGCAAAGACCCTGGCGGCTTGGCACGATATGGTGCTGCCTCTAATTGAACCGGGTTAAAGTGTAGTGGGATGTATCAGCCCACACAGCACACCCTGCTGTGGGTTACACACGGAGACATCCCGTGGTAAAGCATCCACATTATTGTGGTGCCTCAGCCATGGAGCGAACTGCAAAAAAATTCCAAAAGCTATGTGTGTGCATAGTGCGCATGCGCACATAGGCAATTCTTTTTAAAAACCGCTTCTGTAGCGGCAGAATGGATCTGCCGGTTCACACCGCCAAATCCGTTCTGCGTGCGTTCCCCCATGCTCAGACATCCGGCCATGTGTGGTGAATGCACGGGGAAACAAAAACACCACTTCAGAGGTGGTGGCTTTTTAACCCGGCTCCAAGTTGTCCTCTGACAGGGTGACTACGCCCAGGGAACGCCTGACAGATATGGCTGCGTGATCGTGCCCATTTAATTCATTTGTAAAATGTGCCTATATCAGGCCAAACTGCCAGTCTGAACACATCCCGTGTGGCTCCAGATCGCTGCTGAGCAGGGCTTCCTGTGTTAATGAGCAGCTGCTCACACACACAGTGTAGACAGAACACTTGTGGCAGTCTCACGGAACACCCATAAACTGACTCACCCTTTTGTGCACCGAGAGACAGTGACTGTTACTTTTGATTTCATTCACATTTTTAATGCCCTGAGGCTGAAAAATTCACATCTGGATATTTTTAGTAGCCAAGAAAATTGCTTATCATATTTTTTGTTCTTTTTAGAAGGCTGTGCATCCAAACTCTTTCTTCCTCCCCTGTTTTATAGCATTGAAGTAAATTAAACCTTCTACAGCAAAACTTAGTAGTTGGAGATAATATACATAAAACAGTTTCATTTTCTTCAGGAAGAGGCCTGGTACCCCACCTGTTCACTTACCCAAGTGCATATGAAGATTTCACACCTGGTAAATGCTGGCATTCTTTTGCTATCTTGGCTGCATATTTTTTTGGAAGGTAAGCTGTATTTTTTTTAAGGAGTTGGAAGTAGATTGGCAAGTCTTAACACAATGGTAGCAATACAGATCAAGTTACCTAGGCACAAGAACTAGAGAGAAGGTCAGTCTCTCTAAATCTTAATTTTCTCATCGAGAGCGGAAAGCCACAACTCCCTTTGCATTCTCAGAAGCAGTTTGGCGCTGTGTGAATTTCAGCTGCTTGGCTGCTTTCTGCCAGAACAGTGAATAGTACCCAAAATGTAATTATATTTGTCCCTTGAAAAGCTACATATTATAATTTCCCTCCGTTTGGCTCCTCTGGCTTTGGAGGTTCACACAACTCCTCCATCCATCCAAAAATATCAAATGTGCTATTGTCAGTCCACATTAATTATTTCTATTCTTACTATTTATAATACTTTACATTTTATTAAATAAAAAGGAGACAGTTGTAGATTTCAGTATCTTACATACACCCATCTGTTACACTAGATGCAGGTTTAGTTCCAGGGGCTTACACTGAAATGAAGACTGCTTTGTACATAAGATGATACAAGTTCATGGTAGAATGGAAAGAAAAGCCCCAAACACGTGAAATATTTTTGATACCACAAATGCATTTATAATACACAGTTTAGCATATTTAAGCAACCACAAAACCTTTCAATCTTCACTTCAGTCAACCAGTATATACACTTGCCAGTTTGAGGATCAGAACTGAGTTACCCATAAGAACAACCACTGATAATGTGAAAGCCACTGTGCTTTTTCTAGAGGGAAGAGGTATATTGAAAATGGAAATTATGCATAAGGGGGGGGGAACCCCTGGCCAGTGAAACTTCACTTTAAACATCATTGTTTATTTCCTTCATCTGAAAACTGGCTATGTGTTCACGTACTATGGTTTTCAAGTAATCTAAGCCAAAGCTATGTCTCAGAGGATATCACAACAGCAGCCTTGGCAACAGGAAGTGACTACTCTTTATCCATGGGATAAATGGAAGACACCATATCTCCAAGAGAATGGAATGTTTTCGGCCTATTCAAATACAAGTAAACCAAAGCCTCTTCAACTTAATGGGTCAGATTCGCTCTGTGCTGTGAAGTATAAGTACTACCTATGTCCCAAAGAGGCATTTCCTAGAATTGGCCTTCCAGTTACTATGCCACCTTGAATCTGAGAAAGATATCTCAGAAATGCTGACCTACTTGATCCCATAGATCCCATTTTGGTCTGTACCACAATTGCACATTTTACTTCTCAAAGCTAACTGGGAAAACTGTTTAGCTCAGAGAAAGGGAGAAAATTTTAAAGTTTAATGGAGTCCAATACCAGCACATCAGTCACAGCATTTCACACCTCAGTATACAAAGATTTAAGTACAGCCTTATAAGCAAGTAAACCTGAGATTACTTTATAGACAACTGATAAAATGATAAGATACACCACTGAAAAAGTTGCAGCATATGACAAACTCCCCCCACCCTGTTCCAGAGTTAGTGCTTATTTCCCCAGCATTCCAGATTGCGACCTGTCTGATTTGCTCTCACCCACATTCCTTGCTAAGATTTCAGTAGAGGGGGGAAATGGTAAAAATGGATGCAAGCAAGAGCGATCCAGAATACTCTCTGTAACATATCATCCATCAGTTACTTGGCAGTAACCTGGGCACTTAAACTGCCTCAGCAAATGGGGCTTGTATATTCGAAAGTAGGGGGGGGAACCTACTCTACTGCATTATGTGCTGCCAGTACTGGCTATTCTCTATACCAACATGAAGACAGCATAATTAGAAGTTTCAGAAAATATCAAGCAAAACTACTTGAACTAAGACACTGAAATTTTTCCCGTAATGACTGGACAATGTTCTGCTGATTTGGAGATGGAACTCTCCACAGATAGTCATTCAGTTTATCTGAATCACTGCTTGTGGTCAGGTAAGAGTCTGCTGGTTTGGCAGAAGCCATGGTCATATTTTTGTCACCATGAGCTTCTGAAGGGGTAGAGTGGGCACTTATCTTTGGGTCTAAGAGCTTTGTTTGGTTGTGGGAAGCCTCCAAATCAGACCCCTCATCTTCAGATTTGATTTCAACATAATCATCATCATCATCCCCGTCTCCTTCAGTATCTTTGAAATTTGAAAAATAGTTCTGGGTGGCTATTTGTGCATTTGACAGCAAGTTTCTGTTAACTCTAAGGATTTTTTGAGAGTCTTGCAGAATCATTTCTGAGCAGCTCTCGGGCATCTGTTTAGTGTCATTACACTTTGGAAGTCCTGGAGAGACAGCGGGCACTGATTCTTGATACTGGTCACAGATAAAGTTCCTACTTGAATGCAACGGCTTCTTGTCCTTTCCATGTGGATAATTACTTGGTTCTCCAGATGTGTTAACTCCAATTGAGGATGAAGATTGCGATCGGCTGTATGTTTGTGCCTTTTCATTGCTTTCTTTTCTCCCTAAAGAGTTATAAACGTGGTTGTAGTGCAAGTTCTCTTTGTTGGGCTGACTTATAATAGCGCTCCATCTTTGTGCAGGAACAAGTAGGTGGGGGGGAGTCTGAAGGGAAGGCACTGAGCAGGCCGTAGGCAACTGTCTTGTGCTCTGTTTTGCACTCATCTCTGAATGAGAGCTTTTGGACTTCAGGGATGGTGTACCTTCTGGCCAGGCAGAGAAATCAGAGAGTTCTCCATTGCTATACGTTGAGTGCAAAAACCAATCTTCTGCTCTCAGGCACTCAGCAGCTAACTGAGATGTTGATACTGGTGAGGAATATCTTACATTTGATGCTTCTTTTGAAGTGGCTTTGTGTGTCTTGATTGAGCTTTCCCTAAATATAATCTGATCATAGAGCTGAGAATATTCAGCAATTCTGGCACCTAAAAAGGAGGAAAAAAAGGATAACTGAAAAAATGGCATTGATTACCATACAAGAACACCATATGAATGTTAAATTACACATGCTGACCATTAAGGATGCTTGCGACCCCATCAATTTTTAATCCCAAGGAATGCCCATTTATCTTTAAAGCTTATTTAAATGTGATGTTCCTGAGGCAAAAGAATTCCTCCGTGGGATTTCTCCTTAGCTACAGGCACTTTCTTAGCCTGGCAGAGCAACACCCATCCACCCTACAAACATCTGCATTGTTCGTTAATCACACAGGGCTGCCCTGTTTAAACAAGACCCTGTGCCACCGCAAAGATGTGTCAGTGAGTTCTTTTGCCTCAGCTGCACCACATTTAAGTTGGGCCTTACTGTTATGAATTCATGGAGCCATGGCTGTATTTTCTGATCTGCTAATTATACTAATTTATCAGCATCTTGTTAAGCATCCTTCAGGCTTTATACAGAAATGGGCATGACCTGTAGCTTGCAAACATATTTACAAGATAGTTTGGTAGATCAACTAAAGTGCTTGGATGTATGACAACAAGGTAAAACTACATGTTATACAATTCTTTTCCATTGTGGCTCTCTATCAGAGTGAACTATTGCAGGTAGATTTGGACGGAGGGAAATATCAGAAGGGGGAGGACAGGGCCTTTCCTTCGCAGCCATTTGTCTGCTCAAAATCACCTTCTTCCCCGAGCTGCTTTTTCCCACAAAAGATAAAAGATTCAGGAACCCTACCTTTCATTTCTCAAGCATTTGTGAGGGGGAATGTTGCCTATAGCAGAATGTCAGGCAATTGGGGCAAAATAGGATATTGGTGTATACTTTGCACAAGTAACAAGGAAAAAGAAAAGCAAAATATAACATTCCCCCAATATACTGACATATTAGTCACATTGTGAGGAATACAATTGAGCCAGTGTGGTGCAGCAGCTAGAGTGCAGGATTAGAAACTGGAAGACTCAGATTCAAATCCCCAATCTCCAATGGGGGCTTGCTGGGAGATGCTGAATCAGTCACACACCCACAGCCTAACCTCTACCTCACAGGGTTTTGAGGATAAAATAGAGGACAGGAGAACAATGTAAGCTACCTTGGGTACCCACTGGGGGAAAAGGCATGAAATGAACAAACAAACACTGTGAAGGTTTCTCCAATACAGCTACCAAAATACTACTTCTCTGAATAATGATTATGATATATGGCAATGCTGCAGGTCCTGTGCATATTCTGTGACCACAGATAATGCCCAGTTAGATAATGCCTATTTGTTTAAGTCTAAACTTAGTATAAATGCAAGGTAGTTTTCACCCATTGCTCACACCAAAGAACTGTTTATTTTAATCAGTCTCATCTGGGCTAAATCTGAGCAAACACAATCTCTTTTGATGTATCCAAGAAATTTATTTATAAGAAAGGAAAAAATAAAAAATGTTATCATACCGATGGCAGGACCACCTTGTTTCTTCTCTTCCAAAATGGCTGCCAAGTCCTTGTGCCTCAGTTTTTGTTGCCTGCTCAAAAGTTGTTCTTGCTCTGGGCTCTTTATTTTCAAAAGCTGATTTGCTTTTTTAATTTTTTGACTGTACTGTCTTGCCATCATGAAGACCCGTTTTTTTGTTTTATCTACAGCATCCACTTCATTATCAGCACACTCTGCATTTGTACTGCATAGAAAGCGATTGGCAGATTCATAGAGGCCATTTACAAAAGCTATCTCATTGGAGAAGGAAGATCGGTTGAGACTTAATAGTGAATTTGCTTTACATGACGCTGGCTCTTCAGACGGAAGGTTGGCTTCACTTAATCTGGCTACTTTGTTGGGCAGAGTTTTGGGGAAAACAGGTGTTTCTGGTAGTGAGAGAGAAGACAATGAATGTTCTACATCCTTACTCAATTCACAAGTAGTTCCGGTATGCATATTATCTATGTCATCTTTAGAGACAGGAAAAGCTGCAAGAACATGGTCACGTGTCTTTTCTTCATTCTTCTTGATGTAGTTCTCCAGGTCATTCCAGATTTCATCTACTTCCTCTGATAACTTATCTGCAGCAGATTTGTGTGAGAGAGAGTCAGAATTGGAGGAGCTGTCCAGTAAGCTCAGATAGTCATGATCTAATGGAACATAATGATATGGGCTTTCATCCTCACTGAACTGGAGACTCTCTTCAGAAACAAACTGTCGAAGATGGTCACAACATGCAAAATCTGTTTCTAGGCCCAGAAAACTTCTCTTTTTAGAACACTTAAGATGATCACATTTGAAATTCAGCAATGATTGTTCTGGGAGCATTATGGAATCATAGATGTTCTCCTCACTTATTCTTAGATCATGAGAGCTTACAGCTGGGGAGCTTCTCCTGGGCACAGCTTCATTTCTGTTAGGAGGAATGGTGGTCTTGCCCTGAGAGACTGGTCTTTTCTTGAAGGCAACGTCTTGGTCTTGGGTCTCATAGAGTGAGTCTCTTGCTGATCCTTGGGGAGTATGATCAGATTCTTCCCGCCGAACCAGACCCATTAGTTTCAGATCTTCAAAACTTATATTGTCATAGACATGATCTACTTCATCAATGGTCAGTTCTTCTGAAGATTCTGGGTAAGCCTGCAGATTGTCCATGTCAGACCTAGAATGCTTTATTTCATTCCAAGAAATATTTTGACTGAGGTCATTTTTTCTGTATCTCGGACCACATGGAGAGGTTTTCCTTTCACCAGCACTGCTGGCCCGCCTCACAATTTTGTGGGAGTTAGAGCTGGAAGTTTCACTTTGATGAGCTAGTCCTACATGCCAACTGCAAGGACGACTTGAAGGGACCCTCTCTTCACATGCAACTGAAGCTAAGTTCGATGAAGATACAGATGGTACAAACATCTGATAATCGTCTTCATCCTCTACAGCTTCTTGAGTGGTGCGTCTGGTTGGGAACAAGGCTTGCCGGATCTGATGGTCTGTCCAGATGTTTCTCACAGTCTGTCCAGATGTTCTCCCCAAGATATTCATCATAAATGAGCTGTTTTGTGGTATGAACTGTCTAGATGTGTGACTGCTTCCACTGCTGGAAAATGGAAGGCTGGTGTTCACTTGGGAAGAGTCTTCAACTGCAGAATCTTTGGAGTTCTACAAAGGTTTGAAATAAGAGTGTATTGTTTATTTAAACTGTTTATAGGCTCCTCTTACTGCTAAAATTGCTTAAGATAGGACACAGCAGTAAACAAAACAACCTGCCAGATAATTTCCTATTAAAAGCAGCTGTAAGTAAAAATTAGTTATTTAACTAAATTTATTTATTTATTTTAGTTATACTCTTAGTCACTTCTCCAGAAAAGTGCGTGAGGCGGCTAAAACTAGCATTTTACATTTTTTTAAAAGCAACAGAATGTCCATAATTTTTAAATTATTTGTTTTATTTACTTCATTTCCACCTTACTTTTCTCCCCAATGGGGACCCAAAGTGGTTGACATCATTTTCCCATTCTCCATTTTATCCTCACAACAACCTTGTGAGGTAGGTTAGGGTGACAGTGTTGTCTGGCCCAAGGTCACCTACAGTTCACTTAAGTACCTGAATTTCACATTTGCCGAGATTAACGCTTCTTCTTTTTTCAACATTTTCAGCAACTTGACTATTTAGCCTTTTGCGGCCTCCTTTTGATTTCTGTTGTGAATTTTGTTGTGTGCTCTGCATTAAAAGAGAAAAGGTTATGCTATGATGTGTAGTCCTTTAAACTGAAAAGCCATCAGCCAAAATGAAGGCTGATCAGTGCTGATTTCTGCTGCCCTGTCAGGGGTCAGAAAAGTCAGTGTGATATGCAACATTAACGACTGAATATTTGTTTATTGAGGAGATGGTGGGCTCTAAGAAGAATGTTTAAGAAGACGATGCTCTGAAATTCAGTAGCTGTGAAGCCATCCCTGTCTTTAACTTTTTTTCTATTATCAAAATGCATACATTACAAACATGAAAAAGTGATAAGTATTAGTACAATGAGTTAAACACCGCAGAATAAATTCCAAATGAATAAACAAAGCTGCTGAATTATTGGGAAAATAAAGAGAAAACATTGATGAATGACTTGAAGTGCAATCCTGCATAGAAATACTCCAATTTAAGTCTGGCATCAATGGACTTAGACAGGAGTAATTTAGTATAAGAGGAGCTCCAGTGGCGCAATCGGTTAGTGCACGGTACTTACACAGGAGCAATTTAGTATAGAATGCACTGCCAGGCTTGTTACTATAAATTTTAAATATCCCACAAATATTAATAAGAAACAACAATCATACAAATAGAAAAACCTCATACAATAATACTTAGAAATTAAAGATTAAAACATCATGTAACATCAGATTAATAGATTTATGAGGTTCTCAGAATATATTACATGTTCTCTACATTTACAGCATCTTAAAACATCTGTTAAGGAATTTAATGCATGGGAAGCCTCCCCCCCCCCCAACATTTGCCTTTCCCCCCCTAGCTCCATGAGACTGGTCAGGTTTGCCGTCAATACATAGTCCCCCAGTTTATCTAACCATTTTTCAGTTGATGGTGATCCCTACATGCAGAAAGCTTCTACCACATACATTTGATGTTGTGCTTGTAAAGAAGATGACAAAGAGATTGGATTTATACCCTGCCCTTCACTACCCAAAGGAGTCTCAGAGCGGCTGACAATCTCCTTTCTCTTCCCCTCCCAACAACAGACACCCTGTGAGGTAGGTGGAGCTGAGAGAGCTCTCTCGAGAACTGCCCTTGAGAGCTCTGAAAGAACCTATGATTGACCCAAGGTCACACTTGCAGATGCATGTGGAGGAGTGGGGAATCAAACCCGGTTAGCCAAGATTAGAATCCACACTCCTAACCACTACACCAAACTGGCTCTCACAGTGCTAACACAGGTGCTAACACAGGGGAGGAGACCAGGATTGAGATCCTGACTAAGTGCCATAGTCCACTAAATGACCTTCAGCCAATCACTTTCACTCAGTCTAACCCACCTGAAAATGCTCTTAAGAGAATCAGTTGGAGGGAGAGCCATGTATACCGCCCCAAGCTCCTTGGAAGAATGGCAGGATAGAAACATAGTAGGTAGGAAGACAGAAAGACTAGTCCCTAGGCTCCTTACCTAACCTGAAACTAGTAATGGAAGAAAGAGCCATCTGCAAGGTACTTCCTGTTCCCAGCAGTGGCAGTGGTGACAGGTTCAAGGAAATCAGACTGGACAGGCTGTACCAGTGGTAGAAACCTTCTACTACCTTGTAAAAACCCTTTTACGTGCCTTCAATGTCCAAAGTTGGATATTAAAATTCAGTCTTATAAATGTCCTTACCTAACCTGAAACTAGTAATGGAAGAAAGAGCCATCTGCAAGGTACTTCCTGTTCCCAGCAGTGGCAGTGGTGACAGGTTCAAGGAAATGAGACTGGACCAGTGGTAGAAACCTTCTGCTACCTTGTAAAAACCCTGTTACGTGCCTTCAATGTCCAAACTTGGATATTAAAATTCAGTCTTATAAATGTCTGTTATCACTCATGACAACTGCAGGCTCTTTTGGCTAAAACAAAAATACTATTCATGCATCTTTTAGGTAGGTATATTTGATACAGCCCACTGTATATATCATTGAATGTCTTTTTCACGTGCATAAAACAAAGTAGGCTACCTGTTCAGTTTCTTCCTCATCATCAGCATCTGTCTGATCTGTAACACCTATAAGAATATTATCTTCTCGGTTACTACTGTAGACAGCTTCACCAGCATCGAGTCCTTTGTGAGTCAATGAAAGCCTTTTCCTGGGACTGAGAAGAGCTTCAGCCTGAGACAGCAGGGCTCCTTCAATACTGATCCGCTTGGAGAAAAGTGTATGTTGTTATATTGAGCATGCCATTCTTATGCTATGTTAATACAGATAGCCAGGTCCCAACCCTGCCAGGATCCACAGGTTTTCAGGCAATCTCCTATTGGTGATTCAGATGATATGGGTTGATGGCAGGGGATACCACACTTTGACCGATTCTGCAAATTCAGTTTTTGTGCCCTCGGTCTCCTGTTTCCCCCGCTTGTACTGCTCAATTTCCACTATTTGCTGTGTGGCTGCATTTTGACCTGCATCTCTCCCAATTTCCCCCGTGTCTTCTTGATCCTAAAAAATAAGGATCAGAAGATGCAGGGGAAATCAGGGGGAGAAGTGGGTCAAAATGCAGCCACACAGCAAATAGTGGAAATTGAGCAGTACAAGCAGGGGAAATGGGAGACCGGGGGCGCAACAACTGATTTTGCAGAATCAGTCTTTAACACTTCTGCATAACACTTTAACACTTCTGCATATGTTCCTTTTTCTTTCTAGCGCAATCCACAGAAAGTTTATAACTCTGAGCAGAAGGTTTATGCTCCCCCTCCAAGCTATTATTCCATTCCTCTTCTTTCTCTGCATGAATGTGTGCCATTGCATCTTTGGGTCTGGCCCTCAGGACAGCTTGTCAATTTTGTCTAATATTTTTTTTAGCAGAAATTTAACCTGGCTATGTCATAGGCCTGCAGACCAGCTTAAAAGTTCTCTCCCCTCCTTTATTCCTGCTAGCTCAGTCAAATTGGTGAAAACTGTATACATAGTTGCCAAAATTCAGTATATAGCTTAGAAAACCAAGTCTGTAACACGTGAAACTGCCTTATACTGAATCAGGCGCCATCAAAGTCAGCACTGTCCATCAAAGTCAGTACTGTCTACTCAGACTGGCAGCAGCTCTCCAAGGTCTCAGGCAGAGGTCTTTCGCATCACCTACTGCCAGACCTTTTAACTAGAGATGCCAGAGATTGAACCTGGGAACTTCTGCATGCCAAGCAGATGCTCTACCACTGAGCCACAGCCCCTCCCAGAGCAGCACAAGTCATTTGTATCATAACAGTGAGAGGCACAAGTCAAATGAAGTGCAAAGCAATACTCTTCAAGCACCCTGTGGGCTTGGGACGAGCACATGAGTGTGCAGTAGTAGTACTTCTTACAGAATGATCCTTTTGACTATACTTCTACCTTGTCTGCTCAGAAGCAGATCCACCATGATGTACAACAGGTAGCTAGGACAGGGTGCCATTATGGGTGGCAGAGCAGGACACAGACAGATCTGACCCTTGGAGCATAATTTATCACGTTCTTGCTCAATTCCCTTCATTTCAGTATGGCTTCCTTAGGTTACTGGTGGATTATGCCCCAGACTAAATAGTGTTTATATGTGAAGGAGCTATTTGCATTTTGTGCCACAGGCAGAAGTTGGCCCTGTGCCCATTTGCAATTAAAAAAAGGGTTTAAATTGTACCCCAGCAAAGTAAGAAGGCAGAGAGAAATGTAAGTCTGAGAGGGTAGGTGCTGTTGAAGTTATTAAGGGAAAAGCAAAGTATTTACAAAACTCTGAAACTAAAATAATTCATTATCATAGATCTGAAAAACAAACAGTGCAGTTCCAATTCATGGGGGGGGGGGAATGTATATAACTTACCATTTGTCTGTCTCGACCCATTTCTGAAATTAAAAAGAAAAACATATACTCCTAAGTATCAGTTTGTGTAAAGAAGAAGAAGAAGAGTTGGTTTTATACCCCACTCTTCACTACCCAAAGGAATCTCAGAGGGGCTTGCAATTGCCTTCCCTTCCTCTTCCCACGACAGACACCCTGTGAGGTAGGTGGCGCTGAGAGAACTGCGACTGACCGAAGGTCACCCAGCTGGTTTCATGTAGAGGAGTGGGGAATCAAACCCAGTTCTCCAGTTCTCCATATTGGAGTCCACTGCTCTTAACCAAACTGGCTCTCAGATCAAATGAATGAAAACAAGTGAATGGAAATCCAGCAGTTTCACACTGAGACTTCCTTTGAAGTACTGTTGTTGCTGTTTTTGAAGAAGGGCAACTGTGAGTTCACCGGGAGACTGAAATGTCCTCTTTTTTTTCACCTTACCATTTTTTATGCCAGATTGATTATGGTGTTGCTAAAACAGACTGACCTAGCTACTGCTCTAGAATGTATAGACTGTAGTTATTAAACAATATTTAGATGGAATTACTCTTACATGTGCTATTTATTGTTGGATATTTATCATTTTTAAAGTTCCATATTTTGACACCATTACTTACCATCTGGCTTTATGATTTTATGAGTTCTGGATGAAGGTTCTAAAACAGGAGGAAAAGAAAAACAACGGCTCAGGTATATTACTGTTTTCCAGAAACAAATCACTCACAAAGCAGGCTGTTGGTATGACCCAGGAAAGGTGGAGAAGGAAGACTTAAGACTTAGGGCAAAAGGAAGACTCTTAATGCCCAATGTTAACTGGCTTCACAGTTTAGCTGCCCCACCAAGCCTGAGAACACATGAAAACAAGGCAAACAAAAAGTATGAATGAAAAGGTCTAAGGATCTCCCTTCCTTATCCCAATGCCCTCCAAACTAACGCCAGTTCTATATCATGGTGGAAAGAGCCCTGTCCATCTCCCCACCCTGCAGGCCTTCAGGTACATGTTAATTTGCTGTTAAATCCCTGTCTATAAGTTTAGAACCTCATTTTCCATTCCAATGTATTTGAAAAAGTGTGCCTTGCACACGAAAGCTCATACCTTTAATAAACCTTTGTTGGTCTTAAAGGTTCCACTGGACTCTAAATTTGTTCTGCTGCTTCAGACCAACATGGCTGACCACCTGGATCTAGCTACCACCGCTGTTACCCCAAATCCAGAGGGCTGCTGGTAGCAACTGAGTGGCTGCCCTTCTGATGACAGTGAGGCAGATGGTCTTCCTAAGACAGACTAAGAGATCTAAAATGACCTTCCTAGATCAAGATGTAAAGCCATGTTAGTTTGTCTGTAGCAGCAGAAAAGAGTAAGTGTCCAGTACCACCTTAAAGACTAACAAAATTTGTGGTAAGGTGCAATGTATTGAGCTTGAGATCCATAACAAAAGCAGGCTAGGATCCTAGGAGCACACCAGTAGGAACATTTGGATCCTAACATAGCCCAATAGGGTTACCTGGAAAGGTAACCTTGTGTAAATAGCCTATCAAGGGGAGTGGGGTGTGTTTTGGGTGTGACTTTCTTTGGACATAGAACCTGACTTTGGCCAGGGGTCTTTGTCTTTGTTCTCACTGCTGAATCACTTACTAAACTATGAGCTGATCACTCAACGCGTCTGAACCCAGTACATTTCATAAGGTATGAGCGTTTGTGAATCACTGCTCACTTCTTTAGATACAGATTCCAATATATAGGACAGATGGACTCACATTCTAGCTGTGTCTTACGGCCATCCTAGACAGGCTTAATGGATGCTGCTAGGACTGCTCTCTGGTTCTGCCCCCCCCCTTCTTGTAATGTCTGTACATGGGTGTGGAGACCTGTGTCACTGCTGAATTATGCCAGTGATTTGCATGGTCAGTTCAGTGCTTGGCAGTGTCAATAGTGGATTAATGTCAATCTACTGTATGTGGAGATTTTCAATTGTGGCACTCCTATTTACATTTTATAATCATGATACTGTATTGCTGCAATGGGAGCCCCTCATATTATGGCTAGTTATCATAAGCTTGGGATTTGCCAGAGATGCTTCCAACAAAGGAGGAAGTTGGGAAAGAGGCTGCTACAATGCTAGCTGCAGCTGTGTTTTCTCTCCTCTGTCTGGGTTTAGCCAAAGGCACAAGCCCTTGGGCACAAGTTGAAGAGTGAGACCTAAAGTGTCTGCAGTGTCACAGGCCTACAATAAGCAGCGTAGTGATTAGGTCCCACCCAGGATTTGTTCACTGATTTACATTATATTGTTGAAATTAGATGGTTTGGAAATTTCTGTAATCTACTCTGGATCCCCTCAGGGAGAAAATCAGCATAAAAAGGTCCAAACAGACACACACCAGTCACATTGTGCAACACTAGTGTTCAACATGTACTGGTGGATGGGGAGGCAGACATACTGTGGACTTATTCACAAAACTGGGCTTTACATGGAACTCAAGGGCAAGGTGTCAGCAGAAGTGACTTGACATTCCAGGCAGAGTTACAGTCTTTTAAAGTCTGAAGTTAATTGACTTAGAAGGGCACTCTGTTAAGTTTGGTAGTAATATTGAGGATAGTAGCCTTGTCTATTTCCTAACCTTGACTTATCCAGATGGTAGTATCCAGGGGTCATTTCGAGGCAGAACGCAGCGGAACGGCGCTCCATGAGTTGAGCTGACTGCCTCCAGTGTTCCCTTTAAGCTGCGCCAGCCCCCAGTGCACAGATCTGCAGCTCAGTGCAGGGCCAGGAAACTCACTGTCGCCCAGGGGCTACCTCAGGTGCGGGGGAGAGGCAAAAAAGCCAAGCCTTCCCCCACTCCGCACCAAAAAAGGTCTTCTTCCCCAGGGAGGAGGCGCTGCTAGCCATTTAAAGAGGACAGAGGGGGCCGCCAGTCAGCTGTTCACTTTAAATGGCCAGCTGTGGTTTCAGGGCTCCCTTCCACTTCCCCCCACTTGGAGGGGGGGGAGTGAAAGGGAGCCCTGAAATGGCTGCTGGCAGGGCAGGAACATCTTCGAGGCTTCCCTTTCACTCCCCACCTTAGAAGCGGGGGAAGCGAAATGGAGCCCTGAAATGGCGGTGGTGGTGGGTCCCCAGGCGGGCTCTGCTCCTCCTGCGGCTGGGGTGTGTGGCATCAGGGGTGGGCGGGCGCCTCTGTGGTGGGGGCGGAATTTGTAGCCAGGATGGTCGTGGAGGCGGCTGGTGTGGAGGAGCTTGGCCTCGTCGACAAAGGGCTGTTTCTCAGCATCCGAGAGGCGCTTCCAGGTGGCGCCAAGGTGCTTGGAGATCTCAGCATTGTGCATCTGCGGGTGTTCCTGCTGCGTCATCCGCCGCTATGCCCCCCGCAGGAAGGCATTCATCAACCACTTCACCCGCCCCTCAGCTACCGCCAGCGCCCTGAACATCCTCCACGCCCCGTCTCGGCTCCTTTTCTATTTCTTTCTTCCCCTTCCATTTTTTCCATTTCCCCTTTCTTTGTTTTCCTTTCTTTCTCCCTTTTCCCCTCTCTTTCTTTCAATTACTTCCCACTTCTTTTTCCTTTCTTTCTCTCCATTTCTTTCCCTTTTCCCTTTTTTCTTTCCTTTTCTTTCCATTCCCCTTTCTTTCCATTTCTTTCATTTCCTTCTTTCCCCTTTCCCTTTTCTTTCCATTTCCTTTATTTCTTTTCCTTCTTTCACTTTTTCCCTTGCCCTCCCTTTCTTTCCATTGATTTCCTTTTCTTTCCTTCATTCACCTCTCTCGCTCTCTCTCTCCCTTTTCCCCTTTCTTTCCATTTCTTTTCTTTCCTTCATTCCCTTTTCTCCCTTTCTTTCCCTTTTCTCCTTCCTTCCTTCCTTCCTTCCTTCCTTCCTTCCTTCCTTCCTTCCTTCCTTCCTTCCTTCCTTCTCCCATTTTTCCATTTCTTCATATGTTTGTATGTTTTTGAACTTAATTTAAAAAAATTAGGCATGCTCACAAGTTTTATGCTTGTAGATTTTTTGGCTCACGAGGTAGGATTCATCAGCTGCGTGTGGAAGAGGGGCGGAGTCGTCCTGGTGCAATGTTGAGCGTGGCAGAAGGAAGAGGGGCTGTGTTGCACAGGGTTGCCACCTCCCAGTTAGAAAATTACTGGCGGTTTGGGAGCGGTTTGTGGAGAGGGAGCTCAGTAACGATCTGATGCCCTAGAATATGATCTCCAAAGCTGACCTTTTCTTCAGTGGAAACCAATCAGTTGTAATTGTAGTGGATTCCCATGTTCTGCCTGGAGATTGGCAACCAACCTTAGGTTTGTGCATGCTGCCCACAGAGGAAGGAAGCTGCAGCTGCCATCCTCTGGTGTTGTGTGGGTTTATTCCTTGGGGGGGGGGGCTGCTTGCACTGCTTCTCCAGAGACCAACTCAGGGGCTTGCAAAGGGAAACATCCAAATGGGAACTAGTAGACTGTGACACTAGATTGTCATAATGTTATTGCACTATAATGGAATTGTAATTACCTGTGGGTGGGGTTAAGCCCTTTGGTGGTGCAGTAAGGAAAATGGAAGTCACTAGAGGCTGATGAAGGGAAAATGGCACTGATGTGGGCAAGGCCTTTGAAAATGTACACCTTCCCATTCAGATGGCTTGCTAGCATGTTTGGATTGGTGTTATTTCCAGATCAAGTTTGAGAGAGAACATACTGAGAACAGAGAATGCCTGGAAAAAGGATAGTTTTGGGTGGGTGGCCATGTTGGTCCAAAGCAGTAGAACAAAGTTTGAATCCCATGACACCTTTAAGAACAACGAAGTTTTATTCTGGGTATAATCTTTTGTGCATGTACACTTCTTCAGCTACAATGAAATGGAAATTACCAGTCCATACATTTTTATCTCACTACATATGCTAACTTCAGCCCTTACATCTATATTCTCACCAATGCCCCCAGAAGGGCCATACATCCTCTTTATTGTACTTTATTTCTTATTTGGAATAATTGATTAGAATAGTAGATTGTAATGTAACATGATAATAGTAGAATGTACTGTAATTTGGAATGGTAGATTGGAATGTATTTCTCTGGTCTGGAGACAGGGGAGACAGCTCTACACGGCCAATCACCCAACTTCAAAGAAGAAGATGCTGTAAGGTTGCCTCCATGCTTGAGAGGAGATGGATGGAGCGTAATGACAGGGTCTCAGTTAATTGGTCTCAGCATTCCACAAGTAAAGATACATCTGCCCAGGGGTTATTTCGAGGCGGAATGAGCCAGAACGGAACATTATAATAAATGTTTGTTACACTGAAACCAATTAACATCTTGACTATTTTCTTTGTTGTGCTTTTGAAGCAGTTTTTCTCCAGGTAGACTCGCCAGCTCTGAGCTGGGAAATACCTGGAGATTTTTGGGGTGGAGCCTGAATGGTGAGTGTTGCCTTCTGACACACTTCTGGTGAAGTCAGGGGGTGTGGCATATGCAAATAAGTTATGCTAATGAGTTATGCTAATGAGCTCCTGCACCTCTTTTTCTACGAAATGACCCCTGGTAGTATCTAAACTCAGATGTAAAGCTCTTTAATCTCATTTCTTGACAATCACCATAAATGATTAAGCAGTTTAATTTTGGAGGGGATTTTTTTTTTTTAAGTGACAGCAAGCTTTGTTATTACCTGATTTCCTTCTCACCCTTTGTGGGGCAATTCCTTCTTTAGAATTACTCAATACTTTTGTCTCTCCTTCTGGGCTATAATGGAATCCTGGGTGATCTATAAGGAAATGGGAGAAACAGTAGTAAATAGTAATAATTAGTTATTAATGGATACATCAGGTAGACGACTTTGTTAAGAAATTCTCCCTACTGTAAAAACAATGTAAATGCTTTAGATTGTTTTTGAAAACTGCCCTAAATTGCATTCTCTTGTTGTTTGTAGATTGCCTTTGTGGGGGGGAAATGCCAAACTTTATTTTACAATGAAGTCTTATCCTCAAGTTACACTGGCTGGATTGCTACTATCAAAATTAAATGTTTTTAAAGCATATGTTTTCTAACTGAAGTTCCACCTTGGCATTGGTTGGGTAAGCTCATCATTCGTATTCAGTACAGCAGGATGCTATAATTGCACAGCACAGCATGTCTGTGGTGTTGCAGCCAAACAGCAGTGGCAGTACAACTTTTAAAGAGGGACAAAACAAAAAATGAGAGGAGGGAACCTCAGGAAAGTCTGAAGAAGTGAAGAAAGGCAGCCAAAATACTGAGCCGAGTTCTAATCCAGCCCTAGTAATAACAACTTGTTTTACAGGTTCATATACTGCAATGACCATTAGGCCTAGGACAGCATTGGTAATAAAACACCATTCACACACTTAAACACCCTTTTCTGTATTGTCAAAAAACCATTCTAGATAAGTAGAGTCCTGCTGGCTCAGACCAGGGGGCCATCTAGTCCAGCATGGAACTTTTTTATACGATTGTGCACAAACATGTCTACGAAATGGGAGTATAGTTTCCCTTCTTGAGATGTAAAATTTCAGATTTGGAAACTGGGGGACAAAAACCCTTTTATTTGAATTAATTCCTATGTGTATTATCATCATACACCTGGTAGCTTATTAATTGTGGACAAAATTAATCCCTTTTAACAGTATACATAGAAATTATCATTACTGAAGGTTGTAGATTATTTTACATTGAAATGTTCATGTTATAGACTTGGAATGAGTAAAACCTTGTCTAAAAATATTTCATTCATTCCAAAAGAGAAAATATTTCATAGGAGTTTTATCAGTACTCCCAGTTTCCCCTGCTGAAATTGAAAAAAAAAGTTCTCAGAAGAAAACTGAACTGAAGAAACACTAAAAGGGAGCTGCAGCAAATCCCTGTCCATGAAGTACTTGTATAATATACATCTGCAAACACTTTTGGCATTTGACAAGTCATCTTCACTCTATGTGTATGCACTACAATAAGCAGCAACAACATAAGCAGGCTTCAGAAAGACAGGGCCGAACTAGATGAGACGTACTTTTTACCTCTGTAATTCTTACAACAGCCCAGTAAGGTAGGCCTGTGTTATCGTACACACACACTGCAGGTGGGGACTGAGGTTAAATGACAGTGGCTTGTCCAAGGCCATCAACTGAAGCCCACCAGGCTTCAGTGACAACACATCATAACTGCATCAATATCACGTAACAGGAGGAAAACTTGGTGATAGCTAATATCTGTGTTCCCTGTTTGTTACTACATATTTCCCCTTCACACTGTTTCTTCCTCCCTCACAGCTTCTTACTTAACTGTTGAAAGAAACACACTTACAGGTAGCATCCATCTCGAGAATTGCTTGCTTGGCCTATAAAACAAAAATTGTGCATTAACTGTGACGTTTCTATGAAAACTGCATACACCATCTCTATTAATATCTGATTTGGGGTAGGATCACATGTTACTATTACATTTAGAGCCATCTCACCTGTACCATAAGATGAATTAATTTTTTTTAACAGAATTACAATGGAGGATGCAAACATTTGTGGATACTGCACCACTGAAATCATTCACCCCCTAGATTTTCTTGTTAACACTTGGGAAAGATTGGGTATGCCTCCATTAACCTATTTGACTTAAAACATGAGCCAATTTGCCCTATTACTTCATAGCACCATCTCTCAACTTTCCCAACCCCACACTGCTATTATGCCAAAAAAAAATCCATTAATCCTATATCCAATTCCCAGGGAACAACTTGTGCGCACCCCTCAATTTCAGCTGACTCTAATTAGAAACTTCAAGTTCTCCCTCTCACATTAAAATTTCCTCTTCAACCACAAATTGAAAAATGACACTAATTCTTAATAATGTTATAGAGATAATGAAAACTAAAGAAGAAAAAAGTGATCAGAGCAGCTATCACTGCTCTGCCCAGATGTTGCAAGGAAAATGAAAAATAGTGCTATTTCTTAATGACATTATAGTGCTTATTAAGTTTTTGCAGGAAGAAAGGAAGGAAGAAAGCTGTTGCTGCACTGCTTGAAGGCTGAAGGCAAAGTGAAAGAGGATTTACCAGAACAGGTAGTTACTTAATGGTACACATCCTCACTGAAGCCATAGCAGGCCCCCAAACACCTCCAAAGATGAATCGCATCAAATGTGCTGTTTCAAGAATATGATGGAACTGCTGTGCAAGGTATAGGTACAGAATAGGATTTCCAGGTCCAACTCAAGAAATATCTGGGGACTTTGGGGTGGAGTCAGGAGCAAGGATGTGACATCATGCTTGAACTCCAAAGGGAGTTCTGGCCCTCACGTTCCTTTTAAATGCATTCCTTCTATTGGAAATAGTGGAGGATGGGGGCACCTTCTTTTGGGGCTCATAGAATTGGACCCCCTGGTCCAATCATTTTGAAACTTGGGGGGGGGGGGTTTGAGGAGGGGCACCAGATGTATGCTGAAAATGTGGTGCCTCTACCTCAAAAAACACACACACACCCCAGAGCCCCAGATACCCATTGATTGATTCTCCATTATACCCTATGGGGACTGGTCTCCATAAGGTATAATGGAGCGCCCAGTGGACATACCTTTCTGATAACACTGAAGTGGGGGGAGGGCCTCCAAACCAGGGGCTTCCCTGCCCCCAAGTGGGGATTGGCAACCCTACCACAGAATTGTGTTTCTATTTCACTGTTGCGTCATCTGACAGCCACCAGGGGCCAGCGAACTCCCCAGAGCTTGACTCTGGGAGAACAATGGAGACTAGGCTCCTAGTTCCTCCACTGGGGAACCAATGGGCACCGTGGCGGGAGATTCAAACCCACCAACGGGACCCAGGGGTGTGTCCCCCGGGATGTATATAGTTGGCCTGCCGGCCGTTTGAATTAGTTCGTGTTGCGTACCAATAAAGTGTGCTGTACACTATGCCAGTCTTTGTCCTTCATACATGCGGCTAACCCACTACACAATATTCACAATATTTATTTATTTACTATTTGTATTTATAGCCCGCCCATCCCGCGAGTAGGCTCAGGGCGGGTAAGATCATAAAACAGTACAATAAATACAATGAAAAATTTAAACAATTTAAAACAATAATAAACATTAAAACACAATCACAATTCAGACGAGTCAACTGGTTGTGGGAGGTTCCCTAGCATACTATTTGGGTTGGTAGGTGGGTGACAACAACCTCAGGGAGGCCATATAGGGACATCTGCTGCCTCAGCCAAAAGCCTGGCAGAACAACTCCGTCTTCCCGGCCCTGCAGAATTGAAGAAGATTCCGCAGGGCCCTAATCTCAACTGGGAGCATGTTCTACCAGAGAGGGTCCAGGGCAGAGAAAGCCCTGGCCAAGGCAAGATGGACATCCTTCAGGCCAGGGACAACCAGGAGATGTTGGTCCATAGGGCGTAACACTCTTTGGGGCATATATGGGAAGAGGCGGTCCCACAGATATGTGGGTCCCTGGCTGTGTAAGGTTTTAAAGGTTATTACCAACACCTTGAAGCGAATCCAGAAGTCAACTGGCAACCAATGCAGTTGGCAGAGCATCTGCCGAATGTGAGCCCACACAGGCGTCGACGTCAGCAGGTGTGCCGCCACATTTTGCACCAGCTGTAATTTCTGGGTCAGCCTCAAGAGTAAGCCTATGTAGAGCGAGTTACAGCAATCAAGCCTGAAAGTGACCATTGCATGGATCACTGCAGCTAAGTCCTGGGGGGAGAGATATGGTCTCAGCAGCCTTATCTGCTTAAGATGGAAAAATGCAGATCTGGCAACTGCAGTCACCTGGGCCTCCATAGAGAGAGAGGCATCCAGTGTTGCTCCCAGTCTCCTCACTTTCTGGGTCGGCACCAAAAACGGGGGGGGGCAGAACTGCAAATGATTACTGGTGTCATCTGGAACCAGCATTATAACCAAATGTATGCCTGATGGCCACTTTGTCACAATTGACTGGTTTGGAACCACTCCATGATAATGTACAATCAATGAAGTCTGCTTGCCTAGAGAAACAGCTAAGACATTTCCCCACTAGGTGTCGCACTTCCACAGCTTTAGCTATGAAAGAGACCAAGTAGAAAAGTACTGCTTGCTACACATCAGTGTGGTGCTTCAGCAGCTTCACCAACAGTTCCTTTACCCCCTATAACCACAAACTTTCCCTTTCTTAAAAATTATACTCCAATGCGTAGTTTATTATTATTTTTAATATTCATGCTGCAATATATTAGTGAGTGTTTAAGGCACCACAGGAATATAGTTGTTTGAACAGCATTACTGGAAAGGGATTAATATGAAAGGCTAAATTCCCTTTACATCAGTTCTATAAAGGAAATGGCCTTCTGTTGTCATGTCTATGTCCTTCCACTGTGGCTGAGAAATAAGAGTATAAACACATTCTTCAGCTCCTGATCCTATGAAGATGTCTGAAAGCTGCTTTAGCAGATAAGAGTATAGAGAAATACAGTTACACAGAAGACACAGAAAATATTAAGCAGTGGACTTAGATAAACAGGCATATGGTAAATTTATGGAGTAAATAAAGGAAAGATGGAAACACCCTCAGAGCAAGCCTAATACTATGCCTAATACTATGCACACATTGCTTTACATTGAATCAGACAAGGCTGAAGGGGGAAAGAGAGAGGAAGCCCCTTCGACTGGCGACAGGGGGAAAAAAACAGCCTCACAATCCTGCCTGCATCCAGGAGGAAGCACTTCTCCCAATAGTCTAGAATGGTAGCATCCCAGGAACTGCTGGAGAATGGAGAATGCACTCTCACACTTTAAAAGACCAGTAGACTGCCCAACCTCAAGCACACTTACATGGCCAATTCCTCTCTCTATCCCAGACCTACTGACTAAGTAAGGCACTTACCGGTGGTGTGAGAGGGCTACAATGTCTGCCCCAGAGCTGTCTTAATTGAAGCCAGATATTGCAGTCCAAAGGAAGGAGACCCATGTACAGAGCTAGAATAAATGCGTAAGGGGAAAAAAACCACACCTTACAAATAAAATTGTTAATATTTACCTTAGCTGGAATTTTGGCAGGGTGGTTTTCTAGAATCAATCTCTTCAAGTGAAGAATCCAAAGGCGTTTATCTTGCTGTGATTTAGCCTGGTGCAAAAAAACAGAAAATAAAAATTACAAAAAGTGTAATGGCTTTGGTGAGTGTCAACAGAGGGCAGATTTTGGCAGAAATACGGGTAGATTATTCAGGAGGATCCCAGTGACTCCAGCTGTGATGTGGTATAAACTGTAGCAGCTGTTCACAGGATATCGACATAGAATATCTTGTCTATAATGCCATGTTTCAGAACATACTTGGCATATTGTAATTTTTAAATACCTGAACAGTATGCTGCATCTTGGGATTTTTGTAGTGGAAGACACTGAAGCTAAGAGGTTCCTTTGGTATCACTTCTACCAACATGAGATTACCACACTGCAACAGAGAAAAGGGAACCATGAAAGAAAATCTGAACAGCTGGTCACTCAGTTCAAATAAATGCACTTAATATTTATCTTTTGAACATTTATAAACATCCAGACTCCTCCCTCTGCCCTGAAGTACGCTGTTTCTTCCCCTTCCCTCAACCAGTACAATGAACATACCAAGATATGAGCTTTGTAGGTAAATGTCTCTTCCCTCTTCTTCGTAATAAGCAGCAGTTTTTCAAAGAGGAACAAAGTCCGCTCATTTTTCGCTTTCTGGATGCGGAATGTTCCTTCTAAAACCAGCTCCCCATAGCTTGCAAGATCCGGTCCTTTCCAGTTAGTGAGTAAGCTTTGTATCTCCTGGAAGAGGGGGAATAGTGTAGCAAGCACGTTAACCATACTGTTCCATGGCATAACTTCATGTGGCAAACCCCACAGAATGATGCAAACAACTGTCACATTCCTTCAATAGTTTACAGAGTGAAAAAGCATTTCTTCTTCAAGAATATCATTGTAACCATTGTCTCATTGTACATTACAATACAAATATATCTGTCATACAATCATGAAATGGTACACTAGTCAGCATCTGACAGATTCTAATATTGTAATGTTAAGGTAGTGAATTCAGACACACAAACCCCTCTATTATATGTACCTCTATATGGTCCAGTAGGCATGCTGTATGAGAGACATAATTTCAAGACCTAGCAGGCCAAAAGGACCAACGTGAGTGAGTAATGTGATCAATGCATGGAAAGGAGCAGGAAGGGGGAAAGAATCTGATACCATGGTGGGCAGGAGAGGAAAGTGAAGAAAAAGGGGGCTACACCAAGGCAAAATGAAGACGAAGAAACAAATTGGTGCAGAGGGAAACAATCTTTAATAATTATACAGCCCCTGTGCATTTTGCATGGAGTTTTGGCAGGGGGAATCTTTCACATTTTTTTTAGTTCCATTCCCATATACACACTAGAACAAAGGAGAGGAAAGGCTAAAGAGTCTTTGAAGCATACAGCTGTGGTCAGATGTGCAGTTTGAGCTGTTGCCATTGCTGTTCCCTTATGGATTTAAAATGCACGTTCAGAGAGCAACATCTCTCTGTCATGCCCCAGTCATCTGTGTCCCATCCCCCCCCCTTATTGAGTGTTTCCTGTTGTCTAAGCACTCTGTTGCACACCCAAACCATCAGGCAGGTCTGGCTGGTCTCTTGTTTTACAGTTGTCATTTTTTTACTAGTTAGTGATGTGCGAATAACTGCCTATTCACACACACACACACACACACACACGGTGGGCTTCTCAAAACTGTGTTTTCTTTATAAAAACTTTCAAAGAAAGACACCTCTGTACTTCAGCTTTTTTCTGTGCTTCAGGAAAGGGGTTAATTGAAAAGATTAGAGAGGAAGGATGGCAGTGAACTACATATCACAGCAGGCTTATTAGAGCTTGTGAGCATGCTCAAAGGGCATACAAAAAAAGTGCCTGATGGCCCCACTCCCTGGCTACTGTGTCTGATCGCTCAAGGATGGGGTGAAAGCGCTTTGAAGAGTGTTAAGGGGGTGAGTCTTAATAGAATTCTTCTGTTACAAAAAACCCTGGATCAATTAGAGGTGGTGCCACAACAGATCAAACTGCACATCTGACTGCAGCCTATGAGAGCAGGAAAGTGCCAGGAACTTTTTCAGCCAATCTGCCATGTACTTCTAGCTTGTATGCAAGTTGATTGCCACCACTTAGAGCCCAAGTCCTCCAGTTCTCTTTATTTACTATTATGGCGATCTCGCCCTATTCCCTTCCTCACACGCAGGATTTTCCATCTGTTTTTCCTTCCTTTCTGGCTGAGCAGCCCCTTTATCTATTTTCTTCTTATTTGAAGGTTTATGGCTGTCCCACCCTGTCACCCTATGATATTTTGATGCTGGCTCAGCCCAGGAACTTGAGGGAAGAGACAAGATCCCCTTCTTAAACTTACACTTCTGAAAATGGCAAATGAGAGGCTTTTGAAAGTTCAAAAATAAACAAAATATTTTATTCAACGTTGAGGGGAAAAGGTCAGGTGAAATCAGGGGTAAAATTTCTGAGGTGAATCAATAACAACTCTGAGGTAATTAAGCCTTTTCACAAACTCCAGCTAATATGTTTCCAGCAAGTAAGACTTTTAAACCTTTCATAGTCTTAGAATCTTTGAGTAAAGAGGCTTTTGTTTCAATGCCTGCTAGACACTACAGTATAAGTTCTTGAGTTTAACTGTATCAGAAAGCAGAGATACACTACCAGGTACCCAAAATCCTTCTCTAAATACACCAGGGATCAGTCCACTCTTTAGAGAATTACTTCTCTAAACTAGAAGCTCTGTCCCTTTTTTCTGGCCCAAATGGGAGTCTTCAGCTATCCTCCCACTCCTCCTTGCCACCTTCCCAGTCCTCAGTCAGTGCTAAACTGAATTTTCTTAATCAGCCAGTTCCCAACTCTTTCTTGTCAACTGATGCTATCCAATAAAACCCTTTTGAGCAGCCTGTCACTCAAAGGCTCTCTGACTCTGTGAGGCATTAACCCTTCACAGTCCATCACATGTTTATGTAGCACTTATTAGCTTTTAAAGCACAGTTTGTCACAACTATGTAAAATGCTGTAGCACAAACCAACTTATATGGTTTTCAGACATGATCATCGAAACCATTTACAGGTTTATGTTATTCATGTGAACAGAGACACCCAGAGGATCTCATCAAGCACAAACCGAAGTCCAATGTAAAATGTGAACCAATCCAGGAAGGCCAAAATTAAGAGTATCAAGATCATCCTTCTGTCAGACCTTCAACCATATTTTATGGGGCCTATTACTTCTTCTATAAATATAAGCATAATTCCAAGATTATCATCTTAGTAAATCTCAGTCGTACCATATATGTACTTTTTAAAAAGGGCATTGCTAATTTTTGTGATTTATCTGAGCAGTCATCTATCATTCTATCCATTTTTCCTTCCACTGTTTCTTCAAAGAGCAAGATACATGGCTCTCCTCTCCTCCATTTTATTCTCACAACCATTCTGTAAGGAAGGCTAGGCTGAGAGCAAGTGTCTGGGTCCATCGTCACTGAGTGAGCTTCATGGCAGAGAGCGGATTTGAACCTGGGTCTCCCAGATCCTACACTAACACCACAACACACTGAGATGTGTACAGAAAGGCACAAGATACAAATCTTTTAAAATCTTAATTATAAAATGGAGTGTTTCATTCCCAGTTTCTGTTAATGGTTTATTTTGTGTAACTGGACATATATTACAAATCTCATGTCATATTTATTCCATTGAAAGGGCTTCTAGAATAGAGAATTGCTAATACCAATTCATGCCTGGCAGTGTTTGAAAATAGCTAAGGTTTTCAGTATGCCTGAAGATATATAACCTTACAGCACTTACATGAAAACAGATAAAGCCATTCTTAGAAATATATAAAAGATGTGGAATTTTTTCAACAAAGGATGGAGCCCAGCTCTGCTCAGTTACAATCCAACTCCAGTAAAAGCCACTCGATTCCATAAACCATACCAACTTTTGCTCCATGTCATTAGAACAATGTTTTGCAAACACAATTACTGAGTTACATGCGAACATGATACAAATACCACTGGAGAAATGGGCAGAAGAATGCCAGTGAATAAAGTTCTCCATCTCATATAACTGTTACCTCAGTAAACTGGCTGCATCTCCTGAGCTCAGCTATACATGCATTGATCACTGATTTTAAATAAAATTCACATCTGCATTAAAAGCTACTTCATGCATGTTTTTCCTATACTGAGATTATTTTATGTATATGCATACCTCTGAAGTTTTCCACACATTTCCACACGTACAGGATGGAAATAAGAAGTATCAGGGATCTATCTTGCCCTTTTGAATGGAAACACCTTCCATTCCAATGGCTCTTTATTGGTGAAGAAAAGATAATGTGCTCATGACTAAAGTCTCTCCACTCTAATTTATGTAACTGGTTCAGGAATTCTGTACCAGTTCTGATACATATCCAGAGTCCTGGTAAACCTTGTACAAAGACTTGTACAATGGTGCAGACCAGAAGTTCTGTGCTATTGTAATAGACCCATTAGTTTCAAGTTAATTGGAGAGCTGTGTGAGAATTACTAAAAGGAGAATATGTGTACCTGAGGAACACTTTGGATGATAAGATCATCCTTTTGACTGAAAAACGATTATCCAGCCTAACTCTAAGAAAACAGTGCAGGTAAACAAGGGAATCTTCATTTACCACAAGAAGAATTTACATTAGATACCATTCTCTACATTTAGTACAATGGTGCCTTTGTATCTTCACACAAAGATTTCTACGGAACTTTTTGCCAGACTTTGGAGACACTTCCACATGTAACAAATCCATTTCCTTTGTTGATGGTGATTCACACCAGTTCGGGTTGTTCATTTGAAACCAAATAAATAAGTAAAAACATGCATCTTTGATTACTTTTTAAAAAAGTTTTAAAATAAGGATTTTTTTAAAAATGAGGTGGGCAGGAAAACTTGCTATGTATTAGGAAGAAAGGCCCATTATGCATGGACAGCTTACTGCAGAGAATCTGAGCACGTGTGGTGGGTGGCATCCTAAGGTTTTTCCCCTGTCATTTCCCCCAGCGATCTGAGTCCAATGATAATTTCATTTCGCTAGACTTATGCTGCATGTAAAAAAAATTAAATGCAAAACAACGAGGAGAAAAGTGGATCTTGCACACCAATAAATGGCAGAAGAAGCAGAGTGGGCAGAACAAGCTCCGTGCGGGCAGGAAAGTGGCCTTCCAGGGCCAGCAAAGGGGCAGGGAGTGAAAATTTGAAACTGGATGGTAGTTATTCAACTCTCCTGAGTCCAGAGCAGGTTTCTTTAGGAGTGGATGCACCACTGCCCGCTTCAAGGGAGGGGTGACCAACCCCTCTCTCAAGGATGCATTTCCTATCTCCCAGACCCAGTTTGCCAGCTGCCCCTGCCCCCAGCAGATTTAAACAAACAGGAGGGGCAAGGATTGTACAAGCAGATAGTGGGTCTCAAGCTTCCAAGAATCCTATCCACATCCTCAGACTGAACAAGCTGAAAAGTATCTCATACAACAGGACAAGATATGATCCATCACTGCTCAAGAATAGCCAGACTGGATGTGATTTTATCTACAAAGTGCTGAGCAAGATGGTCACAGTGGGCTGCAGAGCAGTCTACCTCCTCCCGTAAAATTAGAGTCCAATGGACCCCAGTAGACCACCGAGAAGAATTCCATAGATCTCCAATGTGCAGATGAAATGGTGGCAGAGAAATGTTCTCTCTTCACCATCATCCCCACTTTGGAGTAGTCTTTAAAATAAGCTCTAGCGCCTATAACTAGTTGGCTTCATCATGAGACTCTCCGCACTGTCACTCTAGCTGTTCTCCTTATCTTTTCATCACCCACAGCCTCTCAGTAAACCATGGGACTGACTGGGCTGTACAACCTGAGAAGAGGGCACCTGGGAGCAACTGTGGCAGTTGTCCAGGTCATTTCTACATTCCAGAGGTCAACCTGGGCATCCACAGGAGCACTGATCGTATCAGAAAAAAAATCACCTAATGCGGTCTGATGCCATTTATTTTTACCCTCCCCTTTCTTCCCAAAGCAACTTATATTGTTCTCCTCTGTTCCATTCTATACGCACCACAACCCTGTGAGGTACATTAAACTGAGTGTGTGTGACAGGTCCAAGATCACCCCATAAGCTTCCATGGGAGAATGGGGATTCAAACCTAGGTCTCCCAGGTCTTAGTCTGACACTCTAGCTACTACATCAGACTGATATATAAGCATACAGCAAGCTCAAACTCCACACTGAAAAAAATACTACAAATACACAGATAAAGGCATAAACAAAATATTTTTAAAAGCCATTGCCAAATACATTTAAACAAAAGCCAAGGAAAAGTCTATAATACTACCGGGAAGCATTCGTAACTCACCTGCAGCCTGATAGCATGTTCATGTTTCCTCTTCATGTCATTAATATGCCATGCCACTCTCTGCATTGTATCTATGGCATCGAGTACCACATCATAACCTTCAGTGTCCTTGTCAAGGTGGTTTTCTATCTCCTGGTAAAGAAGCCAATGAAGAACAAAATCATTTATAAACTGGCAGAGGCTTGCAGCCAAAATATTTGGCAGGTAAAATCCATTAAATATGTGAAACCCAGCCCCCTTCAGCTACAGACAACCTGTTTAGTTAATTTAATATGTTCCTTGCATGTTCATCCCAACAGCACAGAATGCGAAATAATCTCCTTCAGCCCCACATTACCACTGATCAGCTCATTGCATATATTCCTCTTCTTTTTAAGCTCTTCCTTTCCCTGAATGCTCCATGCAAGCCCTGCTTCCCAGGAAGCTAAGCAGGGTCAACTCTGCAACAAGGCCAAGTAAGGTAGCTGTTTCAGGAGGCAGATTTTGGACACAATGTCCCAGCCCCCTACACTACCCACCTATCTCCTCCATCATCCCCTTGCTTGCTGCTCCACTTGCTAATCTTGCTTGCCTCTCCACTTCTCCAAGTGTCTTTAAAAAGAATGCAGCAACTCAACCAGGAGGCTTGTTGGGTCTCTCTGGTGAGTTTCCATAAATGGCTAACAGATTGTGTTTGGTTTTGTGAGTTGCAACTTATATAAACCTGTCCTATAATAACTTCATCATCAATGCCACATTACAAAAGCAGCTAACAAGGCAGGATGCCTCCGCACTTAATGGAAGGAGTGAATCAGTCATTCAATGTCTGAATGCATCTGCATTTAATTTTGGGTAAAGACTCCAGTTTGATAATTACAATGAGCAGGCACTAATGTTGGAAGCCAGCACAGAATCCACAAACACCTGAAGGTCCTGAAATTTAATTAGTGTCATTGTCTAATTGGAAGCATATTATAAAACAATTAAAAGGGGGGAAATCTGAAAATATCATTGAAGTGTGAAACAAAGCTATAAAGTTATATACTTTATTTGCCATCATGTGCACATATACAAAACTGGTGTTGATTTCTGTTTCCAACTGCTCTCACCATTTGGAGGCTGACGAGCATACAACTGCTTTTAATTTATGTTGTCAAAGGCTTTCACGGCCGGAGTTCATTAGTTACTGTAGATTTTCCAGGATGTGTGGCCGTGGTCTTGGCATTGTAGAACCTGATGTTTCGCCAGTAACTGTGACTGGCATCCTCAGAGGTATAAACACGGAAAGATGGAATACTCCTTGACACAGAGAGTATTCCATCTTTCTGTGTTTATACCTCTGAGGATGCCAGTCACAGTTACTGGCGAAACATCAGGTTCTACAATGCCAAGACCACGGCCACACATCCTGGAAAATCTACAGCAGCTTTTAATTTAAATTATAACACTCATGATTCTTTAACAGCAAGCTTCCCCCAAGTGACATCAGAAGCACAGGCTATAGTAAAACTGAAGTAGTCTGATGCAGTTAATGAAGTAAGCTCTAGTCCTTGAAAATTTATTATGGCATCATAAATCTTACCATTTTACAGAGCAATAAAACTCCTTTGTTACTTTTGCTGCAACGGACTAGTAGCATGGCTACCTCTCCAGAATGTACAATAATTAAACCTTTGTATTTAAAGAATTACCATCTTCTTACCACAAGCACTCCTTCATTGCAGGAGTTTCTCAAACATTTTGTTGAGCACTGTGTTAGAAGTTTGGGTTGTTTCATGCCTATGTGTGCATGCACACCCATTCATGCACCTACCAGTCATTCAAGTAAAGAAACTGAATTATCTAAACAAGGCAGAGTATCATAAAAGGATCTGGGCCAGGTCATGGGGGCAGGAAAGAGAATAATGAAAGAAAAAGTAGAAAGGGGCACTCAGGGTGAGAAAGGGCAAAGAGAGAGGGTAGTGTGGGTGACAATGGGAAGGAAAAAGTACATCATGAGAATAAGTACCAAAGGAAGTGACAGGGTACAGAGAAAGTTGAAGAGGGCCAGTATAGTGATCAGAGTGTCAGATTTGTATCTGAGAGATGAGGATTCAAATCTAGAAGCTACAGAACAAGACCCTTTATGTGGTATTGTTCTATAAAGGTCTGTACTAATGTCAATCAACATCTGTGTAACAGATTTAAAGGAGATTATCCAAAGTTTTGGTGTGCGCTGTCATTAATTTGCTGATGAAACCCAGCTATACTTCACACTATACAAGCAACCAGAAATAGCCAGATCTGTGTTAGGACCATGTCTGAACGTCAAAGCAAAGAAGAGCACATTGAAGCTTTACTCTCCTTGCATTATGGAACAGTCTTCTTGAGAATGTAAGACCACCCCAGTCTTGCAAAGATTTTGAAAGTTCTGTAAGGCAGAGCTATTCCAATGTACTTTTAGTCATTCTTGAGGTCAGTCAATGTGATTTAGTTAGTTAATTAGTTAGTTAACTAGATGAGCAACTACTAATGGTTTGCTTTTCCTGTTCTTTAATCTGTATGGAATTTCTTGAATCGGTGGTTTTTAGATTTAAGTTGCCTTTTAATGATGTAAGATGTTTTGAGTCCCATAGATCAGGAGAGACACTGGATAGAAATATTTTATAAAAAAATATTCCCACTATGTCATGAGGCTTGCTGGATGAACTTGGGCCAGCCACTTTTTCTCAGCCTAATCTACCTCACAGGCTTGTTGTGAGGAATCCTGTTGTTGTAAGGAAGCTAGTATTGCCCTTGAAAGAAGGGCAACACAAAAGTGTACTAGACAGAAAAAATGAAGAAGAATCTCCTTACATATACTTATCCATGCTGCTGCTGTCAGTATACAAATTATATTGTTCCATCTAAATCTGCCTGGACACTGTAGTCCTGAATCACTGCCTGTAGTTAAATGGCTAAGAGTGAACAAACTGAAACAAAATCCTGATGAGACAGAGGTAATTGTGGTTGGGAAGGTTTTGAAGGACACTGTGTTTCCCACCTCTGATGGGGTTCAGTGGACTCTCACTGATATGGCCAAGAGCTTAGTTAGAGTATTATACTGGATCCAACATTACTGCTGAAAAAGTGAATTAATGCAGTTGTAGAAAACACTTTCTATCAACTTAGGCCCCTGCCACACGGCAGGGGAAAAGCCTCTTGAGACGCCACGGGGGATCCCACGGATCCCCTGGCCGCAGCGCCTTTTCTCCCCGGCGTGGTCAAACGCCGGGGAGAAAACACAGTTCGGACGCCTAGCCGGCCGAACTGCACATGTCAGAGCATGCGCAGTTCGGCTCCGGGCCGGGGTTGTGCCGGCGCAAGGACGCGCCGGCGATCAAACGCCCGGCTTGCCGCGCCGCTTCCACTTGAACCACCGAGGTAGGTGGTTGCAAGTTGAGGCGCATTTTGCCGGGAAAGGGCCAGTTCGGGGATGGTATCACGACGCTTCCCAGATGTTGTGGTATGATCGCGCCGGTTTGATCCGCCCCTGAACTGTCCCGCTCCCGGGCCAAATCGCCTCGTGTGAACGGGACCTTAGTTTGGCCTGGAAGATGGCCCCTATCTTGCCTCAACCAATGTAGCCAACTGGATCCATGCCACAGTAACATTAAGAGGAGACTACTGTGATGCACTCTACATAGGCCTCCCCTCAGAGTCAACTCAGAGACTCCAGCTGGTGCAGAGTGTCACAGCTCAATTTTGATTTGTAGTTAGGCAGAGCCATACATATTAGCCCCATTCTACAGTCAGTTCATTGGCTGCCCATTCATTGCCAGGTATAATTCAAGATATTAGCTATCACATACAAAGCCCTTCATAGCCCTGGACTTTAATCTCTGGGCCTACCTCTTCCCCTATGGTCCACCATGACAGCTTCTCTCATCTGACCAGGGCATTCTCCAGGTGCCATCCTGCGAAAGGGCAAGATCAACAACTTCCTGTACATGTGCATGCTCTGTTGTGGCCCCCACCTTATAGAATGGCCTGCCTGATGAGGTCAGAAAGACTCCCACTCTCCTGGCATTTCACAAACCACGCAAAATCGAATTTTTCAGGAAGGCATCTTAATTAGGGATGGGCATGAACCAGGAAAATATGGTTTAGTTCATGGTGTGCTCAGTTCACAAACCACGAATTGTCATGAACTTTTAGCTGCCAAATGAACTGGTTCAGTTTGTGGGGTTCATGGTGAGAGAACAGCCCCCCAACATGCTAGAGACACCAAACTTGCAGGGGATCTTTGGCTGACTCTCCAGGTTTGGTGAGGATTGGATTTAGGGGGTCTGAGGTACAACGCCCCAAAGAAGGTATCCCCAGGAAAGTGCCTTCTGGGGAAATGATAGCTGCAGGTTCAAGAGTGTATAGAACGGATCTGGTGCAAGCTAGAGACATCAAAGTCACAGGGGACCTCCCCTGGATGCTCTTTTACATGCCCTCTAAGTTATGTTGCTTTGAAGTTTCATAAACATTTTGATTGAGTGGATACAGTCTGTCTGGAAATGTATCTGTTCACGAACTACCACAAACCACCATGAACAGTTTGAAAGATCATGGAAAATTCACGCTGGTTGACCTGCCACGAACTTCAGTTCACAAACTCTCCAAAATTCATCACAAACTTTAGTTTGTGAGCAGGTTTATGCCCATCCCTATTATACTGGTATAGTTTAGGAAGACAACTTTGATAAAGAGAAAGAGACTGTGGACTATACTACCTGATGTATTACATACTATCTGTTGCTATATGCATTATCCTATTATGTAATTTCTGCATAATTTAATATACCATGTTAATATTCATGTTTTGCTTCAGCTTTCTTCCAGGTTTTTAATTTCCACAATTCTAATCCTACTACATTACCTATTAGATGTACCATCCTACTGATTGCATTGACTTACATGGTATAATTTCAATGAATCTCAACTCAGTGCAGTCAGCGGGATGTAAATAAATAAAAATAAATATACAACAGTACCATTCTCAATCGCAGATGGAGGATCTAAATAGTTTACAACAAACTACATGAACAACATGAACTACAACAAAACTTCCTGTTACTGGAAGGATAGAATTTCTGGGCACAGGCAAGCTAGAATCCTGACACTTCTAGGCACTTTTAACAGACAGGGCTTTTCTGTATGGGGGAATCAAATATGCAATATTTGGGGAGCAGTGGATTTACAGGAATTCACATGGTCATCCCTTTAAGAGTCTTGAGATCCCCAAAAGAAAGATACTTCTCTGGGAAATCTCATTATGTTGCAACCATGCAAAAGCAGTAATTATTGTCATATGCAGAAGAAGTGTACTGCAGATTTTATTTACAGAATGCCCTGGTGCTGATGGAGAAACAAATGTAAAGTGCAGGGAGAGATGATCCAACAAGAAGAACTTAATTCACAACATACATGCAAAAGTAGGTGATATTTGAGTATTCGCTGGACGGGTTTTAAAAGATAGGATCCCAAAGGTAAAGAATGTTGTAAAGCTTCTTGTTGCTCTCTGAAAAACTTCGCTAGAGATTTGTTCCTCATGCATTCTGTTAGTACAGCCACCGACCTGGAATATAACACACAAAAAATTAAAACTGTTCTCTGCTCTTCTATTTATTACACAGAAAACCATAACTCAAATCCATACATCTGGCATCAGTGCAATTGCCTGCTTTGGGCCACTGCAAGTGTCATGCATTTGCTAAGTGGAAATCACTTTAGTGCAGATGATAAGTGAAAGCATCATGTTTGACAACTGTGCACTCTACAAAGAATGAGAATGTGATTGTCATACGATAGCATTCTGCGTGCTGTTGCCCCTTCTATCAAAGCACCTGAGAAAATAGTGCCTCCTGTTAGTGTTTCATAAATATTACATTCATATCACAAAATAGTAAAAATACAAATGGGCTGACATAATCTCTAACATTGTCATTCCATGTCATTAAATAAGCTTATTTGACTAAATGAGTCTCTGTGCTCATAGTTTAATTTAGACATATGATCCACTTTTCAGATCCAAGCTATCCAACCAGCTATTGAAGGGGCTTCCTGTGCTTTCTACCACAGAGCAATACATTCTCTCACTGCTGTTAACAAATTAGAATATTAATTCTATATCTAAGGATTGGTTTAAATGCAAAAAAATTGATCACTTTCATTATATTCAACATTTCCCCAAAGTACAAAATGAAAATTTAAAAAGTACACATGAGATACTCATACCTTGGGTAATTGGTGCAATACTGAGTATATATGTGAAAATCTTCACTCTGTGTACAAAAGGGGAGGAGAAGATTATTTAGTATCTGCATTTCTCACAGCTTCCTAGACATTCTGAAGCCTTACTAGCTTTCGACAATTTTAAGAATACTACCAGCCTATAAATACGTGGCCTGAAAAGGGAAAAGAAAGAAGTCTGTTAAGTTTCCTAGAGACCATTCTTCCTTACAAGAGTCAAGCACTGGTGGTATTTACAAGTCTGTTAGAAAAATACGGATACCTTGCTATTATTTACAGTTCACTGCGCAATTTATCTTGTTCCAGAAAACAAGAAGTCATGTGTATTTGCAGTTCCAAACCTAACATACTTTTCTCATCATCCCAAGACTTGGACCAATTTCTGATGTATGTTTGAGCATTCAAAAGAAAACAAAACATCTTACACATGAATTTGATCAAAGGCATTTATCTGTACAGCAGATTGTCTACAGTCGTAACTCCTCTAGAAAATCACCATGTACCAGAAATTCTGAAATACACAAAGGGACTGTTTCACAGAAGACATTTTGCTTTATGACCATGGAAATTGTGATGTACAAACTGGATGGCTGCAAGCAGCAGCAACTCCCATGACTGTAGCTGAGGAGGAAAAAGGATTGCCAAATTGCTACTGCTGTCGATAGTCATACAATTCTGGCTTGGGAAATTCCTGGTGATTCGAAATGTAAAGTTTGCTCAAGGAATGTAAAGTTTGTGGAGGGGAGGGAATTCAGTAGAGATGTGATGCCATTTCTTCTTGGGCAGTGTTTCCCAACCTGTGGGTCAGAACCAGGTCTTGGCCAGGCCTCCCTAATGGCAGCTCTCTTGCCTAGAGATGAACTCCCACTGGCTTGGGGTTCATAGTGGAGACAGCTACACGCTTTGTATGAGATTTGTCAGTTTCTCAAAACATCTGCTTGGGCACTATAGAAAATGAAATGCTGGAACAGATGGGCGCCAAGGTCACAGTTTGCCTAGGGCAGCAAAATACCTTGAGTCAGCCCTGGATAAGTCACCGTACAAAGTAAATTTGGACTTGTGGGTCACCATACCAAAAAGAAGTGAAGCAGTAAGCAGTGACTTATCTGAAGAAGTGAGCAGTGACTTATGAAACCTTATGCCCTGCCACAAATGCAGGGGTCTTTTCCTGCAGGAGCGCACAGGAGCGGAGCTCCGGCAGTAAAGAGCCCAGGGGGCGGGCACATGCAACAAGCCCCACCCCCTGCTCCCAGCAGCCCTTAGTCAGAGCAAGAAGCAGCCAGGTAAGTTGCAGAGCTCCCCCCGGCCCCCTGGTCCAAAACAGTCCCGTGGCACCTTTAAGACCAAGTTTTATTCAGGTACAAGCTCTCCCTCCTCTGCCAGAACAGATCTGCACGTTTCCCCCCACACCCCAATAGCTAGCTTTCTGACACATTTCTGGTGATGTCAGGGGGGGTGGCATATGCAAATAAGTTATGCTAATGAGTGATGCTAATGAGCTCCTGCACCTCTTTTTCTACAAAATGACCCCTGCAAATGTGTACATCTTTAAGGTGCTACCAGACTCTTGCTATTTTCTACATACCAAAAAGGTAGGGAACAACTGTTCTAGGGGAATTGAACTCTATAGTCTGTAGATCAATTGTAATTCTGGAAGAATGCAAGGCCCCATTTTCAGGCTGGTAACCCTACTTAATTCACCTATTATATTTGCTCCCAGCCAAGACTGCTCGCTCTTGTGTGAACAAGTCTCTAATTGGGGGGAACATCTACATAAGCATTTTGGCATGTGCTAAGGTCAAAGCAGACTATCTGCCTTTTAAAAAGAGGATCAGTAAAATTATCTACCCTGCTTAAAAGCCTGTCTTATTACCAGATAGTGACAGTCCACCCAGTAATTACGAAACATTTCAGCTGAAGCTTTGCTGATGTACAGCTAGATACTTTATCATCTTTCCAATTTAAATTGATGTAGTTCTCTTCATGGAGGGACAAAAGCTTGCATCACAACCTATTTAAATATACACGCTTTACAGTAAACAGCTATGACAGAAATCTACCCCTGCAAGGAACCAGTAATCAAGTTAACCATGATCTGCAACAGACGTTACAGTCTGTAATTAGCCAATGAAATCAGCAGACTATCATAACTCCTCTTAACTTTCATAATAAAGATGAAGGCTCTCCAACGACCTCTCCAAGTGTAGGATTCAATATTAAAGTTATACCCAAACAGTAAATATTAATTTAAAGCAAACGGACACAAAAAGGCAGGAAACAGCCATTCAGAGCTTCATCAACTATGCGGAGCTCTCACAGCCACTTACCAAACACCTACCCACACATGGGAATTCTTTTTGAACTGCTGTAAGAACTATGCTTTACACTCTTTACTAGAGAATAGAAAAGAGCTAAAGCATATATTACAAATACAACTGAATCCATTAAAAACTATTTATTGAACTTATTTACGGTACTCGATTTATAGTCTGCTTTTCTCATGGAGAGGAGCTGCAAGCTGTGGAAGGTCGGTAGCTCAGCAGTTCGAGACCGGAGTGTGCCGCATGACGGAATGAGCTCCCGTCTCTAGTTCCAGCTCCTGCCAACCTAGCAGTTCGAAAGCAAGAAATTGCAAATAGATAAATAGGTACCACATTGGTGGGAAGGTAACAGCGTTCCGTGCGCCTTGGTGTTAGTCATGCCAGCCACATGACCACGGAAACGTCTCCAAACAGCACTGGCTCTTCGGCCTTGAAATGGAGATGAGCACCGCAACCCTAGAGTCGAATTTGACTGGCTTTCGAGCAAGGGAACCTTTACTGTTACCTTTCTCATGGAGACTCAAGGCAATTTATTTTTTTCACTTTCTTTGTGAAATGTCCAGATTGCCGACACTATAGTTGCAATTATTCAGCTACTAATATATAAGTATGTGAATTTTTAAAATTTCTTACTCAGAGGCAGATTGGCCCTTCAACTCACTGGAAAAATTTCCAGTGGGCCACTGTCTTGGAAGACAACCGGTGGCCAGATGCAATCCAGCCTCAGTAGCACTGCCAGTGCTCCAAGGATCACCACCTGGCTTGAACAGAGCCAGTGGTGACAACACTTGAAACGGGCTCACCTATTACCTTATCCACCACAGCAAAGGTTCCCACATGAGGGAAAAGGCAATGGATAAGCTTGATGCAGCCCAAACCAGGTGACTCCTACCAGAGCTACTCAGTTCAGTTTACTCCTAGGCCATTTTGACAGCCCAAGATATCCCTGTCCTGAGTCAAGTCACATTTTATGACCTGTGAAGGTCTAGCATCTGCTGCTTGGGCCTTTTTAATGAGATGTTTTCTCACAGGTCACTGATCTCTTTCCTTTGTGTCTGGGAAATATGAACATCAGACGGACAGGCTATGTTGCTGTGTCTGACTGACAGTCTCCCTCTCACTCCTGGTCAGTATGTGGCACAGCAATGTCATTTCTAGCTCCACACATGGTCTTTGGTGGGCTGTATAGACCATAGACACCTTGCTGGTCATATTTATGCTTTGTTGCTGCAGCACTGCACCAGTTCACAGATAACCGTCCTGTCGATGTAGATGGAGTGATGGACTGTGTCACCATATTCCTCGCCTCATTTTCCACACAAAGCCTTGCATGCTACAACTGCACTGGCACAGCTACACTACCCTATTGACATCTGTAGTTTGCTGACCAGGTGCACCACTTCAAGATGCAAGACCTTTGCAAATGATCCAGTCCACTTTCCCATTGCGTAACAGGCCAAAGCAGAATATTCTACAGCTTCTCAAAGCTAGAATTAAGGTGTGGTATTATTTTTGCAAAGTGGGTCAGCACATAAGGAAGAAAGTCTTCTAGACAATAACATAAAATGCCATAATATCCTTGGCATGCTTATTGTCCGTCAACCTGCATTTCTAGTTCTGGTTAACATCACAGATGCTTACATCTGTAAAAAGCACCTTTGATGTTCAACAAAAGCTGTGCAACATTTTTCTATGAAATAAGAAAATACATATCATAACGTCAGAATGTCATTTAAATTAAGAACAATTTCATCATAAAACTACCTAACTAAAATGAGATAATGCCATAATTTATGCAAATCTCATACCCTTTTATAATTTCAATGATACGCTAATCTGATGATCAGGAGGGATTTGATGACCGAAAAGCTGTGCAACATTGATAGCGGCCAGCAGGCAATCCTAAATCTACAACATAAGATATGCAATAGTCCTGAATTTACACAACCAATAACATTATGTAGTACTTAGGAAAGCCACAAAATTCACATTTTAAAATCACACAGATATGCCTTTACAGATGTTACTATTATCTTATTAAAGAGAAGAGAGGGCAGGGGAGAAGATTCAGGTCAGATTAATATCCATATTGCTCAATGCCAGACTTCAACATACGCTTTCCAATGACCAGCTGAAAAATAAACACTGTCTTTACTTGTCTAACTCGTCCTTTTAACCTGCAAGGGTTAAGTATGTGGAGTCAAAGATTTCCCAGCAGACATTTCTAAACACCATCACTAACTGAACTTCAAGCTCAAATACCTCTGCAGATTAACAGGGGAAATGTCCCAATCATTAACTTTAGAGACAAAAGCCAAAACATTTAACCTGAATCGAAACTACCAAAATACATTTCTTTATTCCTAAAGTGCAGTAATGAACCCACCTAAAGATAGTTTTCCCCATCCAGAGCTTCAGAACTAACTGGGATCCATCATTATATTTTCCAACTAGCTGGGGAAAATTCTTGTCTAGGCAAAAAGAATACATGGAATGTCTATGCCATAATTCATAAATCTTGATTCTGGGGTCCTTAATCTCAAAGCGTTATAGAATAGGAAATTGCCAGTAAGCCCTGAAGTACTACCATGGCTAATGTGCAAGCCTGGAAAGAGCATTTTACTGCAGTTTGCAGGCACTTCCATTCCCTATCCCAAAGAGAATCACAGCTTTGCCTTCAAACACAAAATAGGGTAGCTGATAAGTGTTCC